ATCAAAGAATCCTGGAGATTTTCAAATTTTTTCAAAAATAAAGCAAAAATTTCCCAAGAATCTTTCGTAGTAAAAAAAATCCACTGGAACCCTTTAATATTGTTACAAAATTTTTCAACGACAAAACATAACATTTTCAAATTGTTATAAAAATAAAATAAAACACCCGAAGATCCTTTTCAACATTTTCAAAAACAAAAACAACAAGAATCTCAAAAATTTTTCAAATTCTTTCGAAAATACGACACAGGGAATTTTGAAGATCCTCTCCTGTTGTTAAAAAGAAACTTAATGCTCACAATTTTTTTTTTTAATTTTTTCAGAAGCAATATTCTAAAAATGCTCGAGATTTTTCATTTTTTATTTCAAAAATAAAACCAAAAAATTCCAAAATATTCGCTCATATTAAAAAGACACTAACCGCCCCAAGATTGTTTCAAACTCTTTCAACAACAAAACACCGGGAGTCTCTGAGATTTTTTCAAATTCTTACAAGAATAAAATATCAGAGGTCCCGAAGATTCTTTAAACATTTTCAAAAACAAAAACAACAAGAATACCGTCATTTTTTTTCAAATTCTTTCAAAAATAAAACACAATGGATCGCAGATCCTTTCATGTTATTAAAAAAAAGCTAAACCTCCCAAGAATTTTCAAAGTCCTTCAGACACAAAACATCAAAAATTCCCTTGGTTTTCAAAATTTTTAAAAAATAAAAACAGAAATTTTCGAAGATTCGTTCATGGTCCAAATGATACTAAACGGCCAATCTCCTTTCAACGACAAAAAGTGAAATTTTTCAAATACTTGCTTACCGATATAAAACACAAAGAGCTATGAAGCTTCATTCGTATTTTTGAACAAAAACTAAAAACCACGAACATTTTTCAAACACTTTCTAGAACTAAACACCAAAAATCACGGAGGTTTTCAGTTTTTTTCAAAAATACAGTACAAAAATTTTCGATTGGTTTATAGTTTCAAAACCTTTCAAAAACAAAACCCCATGAGTATCTCAGATTATTTCAAATTGGTACAAAAATAAAATAAAACACAAGGGATCTCAAAGATTTGTTTCAAAAATAAAAACCGCAAGAATTTCGTAATTGTTCTCAAATTTTTTCAAAAATAAAACAAAAATCGTCCAACGTTCGTTCATAGTAAAAAAATACACTAGGCGCCCTTAAGATTGTTTCAAAACCTTGGGGTATCTAAGATCTTTTCAAATTCGTAAAGAAATACAATAAAACACCACGGATCCTAAAGATTCGTTTCAAACACTTTCGAAAACATAAACAACAAATATCCCGGTTTTTTCAAATTTTTTCAAAAATAAAATAGAGACCAGGGTCTTGATAATTCCAAAATTTTCAAAAATAAAAACAAGAATTCCATCAATTTTTCAATTTTTTTAAAAACATAACAAGGAATTTTTAAATTCCTCTCCTATTGCTAAAAAGAAATTAGATCTCCTCAAGATTTTTTCAAATTTTTTCGAAAACTACTCTAAAAATTTACGAGGTTTTCCATTTTTTTCAAAAATTAAGCCAAAGAGTTCCAAAAGCTTCGCTCAGAGTACACTAAGCGTCCTCGTGATTATTTCAAATTCTTTCAACAATAAAACATCGGAGCTCTCTTGCATTTTTTCAAATTGTTACAAAAATAAAATAAAACACCAGTGGTCCCGAAGATTTTTTTAAACATTTTCAAAAACAAAAACAAGAATTCCGCCAATTTCAAAAATAAAACTCAAGGGATTTTGAATATTTTTTCACATCGTTAAAAAGAAAAAATTACTAAACCCCTCCAAGTTTTTCTCAAGATCTTTCAAAAGCTAAGCACCAAGAATTTCCGAGGTTTTCAAATGTTTAAAAAAAAACACAAACATTCCCCAAGAATCTTGTGTATTAAAAAAATACACTGGAAGCCTTTAATACTGTTTAAAAAATTTTCAACGACAAAACATGAGGGTCTCTTAGATTTTTTCAAATTCTTCCAAAAAAAATAGAGCACCAGAGGAACAGAAGATTTTCGAAAACAAAAACAAAAAAATCCAGTCAATTTTTTCAAATTCTTTCAAAAATAAAATTCAAGGATTTTGCAAATCTTTCCATATTGTCAAAAAGAAAAATGTAACTAAATCCCTCTAAGTTTTTCTCAAACCCTTTCAAAAACAAAACACCAAGAATTTCCGAGGTTTTCAAATTTTCTAAAAATAAAACACAAATATTCTCCAAGAATCTTTCGTAGTAAAAACATACACTGGAAGCCTTTAAACATGAGGGTCTCTTTGATTTTTTCAAATTCTTACAAAAAAGAAATACATATATAAATAAAGCACCAGAGGTCCAGAAGATTCTTTTAAACATTTTCGACAACAAAAACAACAAAAATCTCTTCAGTTTTTTCAAATTCTTTCAAAAATAAAACTCAAAAGATTTTGAAAATCTCTTCATATTGTTGAAAAAAAAAGAAGGAACTAAACCCCTCCAAGTCTTTCTCAAACTCTTTCAAAAGCAAAACACCAAGAATCCCCGAAGTTTTCAAATTTTTTCAAAATAAAACAAAAATTTCCCAATAATTTTTCGTAGTAAAAAAAATACACTGGAACCCTCTTCAAAATTTTTCTACGACAAAACATTTTCAAAATCTTACAAGACTAAAATAAAACAACAGAGGTCCAGAAGATTATTTTAAACAATTTCAAAAGCAAAAACAACAAGGATGCGATTATTTTTTTCAAATTCTTTTATAAATGAAACAAGGGATTTTCAAGGTCCTTTCATATTATTAAAAAGAAACTATACCCCCCAAGAATTTTCAAACTCCTTCACCAAATATCCCCGAGGTTTTCAAATTCTTTCAAATAAAAACAGAAATTCCCGTAGATTCCTTTCTTGTAAAAATGACACAGAGCGTCCTCAAGAGTGTTTCAACCCCTATGAACAACAAAACATTGAGATTTTTTCAAAATGTTTAATGTAAAACACAAGGGGCTATGAAGCCTCATTCGTATTTAAAAAAAAAACTAAAAGCCCCCGAGATTTTTTCAAACTCTTTCTAAAACGAAACACTAAAAATCACCGAAGTCAAATTTTTTCAAAAATAAAACAAAAATTCTCAAAAAATTGCTTCTTAGTAAAAAATTACACTAGGTGCTCTTAACATTGTTTCAAAACCTTTCAACAACGAAACTCCAGGGGTATCTAAGATTTTTTCCAAAATTCGTACAAAAATAAAATAGAAACCAGGGTTTTCAAAAGCAAAAACAATAAGAATTTCATCAATTTTTCAAATTCTTTAGAAAATAAAACAAGGAATTTTGAAAATGCTCTCCTATTGTTAAAACGATACTAAATGCCATCAAGATTTTTTCAAATTCTCTTAAAACAATACCCCAAAAATCCCCTAGGTTTTGCATTTTTTTCAAAAATAAAACCAAATACAGAAATAAAATGAAGCACTAGAGGTCTCCGATTCATTTCAAAAACAAAAGCAACAAGCAACCCCGCATTTTTTTCAAGTTCTTTCAAAAGTGAAAAACAACGGATTTCGAAGATATTGTAAAAAAATTAATCGTAATATTTTTCCAAACTTTTCCAAAATAAAACACAAAAATTCCCAAAAATCCGTTCAGAGTAAAATAATACACCCTAGGTGTTCTTAAGATTGTTTCAGAACCTTTCAAGAACGAAACACCAAGGGTGTCAGATTTTTTCAATTCGTACAAGAATAAAATAAAACACGATGGGCCCCAAAAATTTGTTCAAACACTTTTAAAACCAAGACAAGGATCTCCTAATTTAAAAAAATAGGGGTTCTCAACCAAAAATCTGCAAGGGTTTCAAATTTTTTTTTTTCAAGAATAAGACACAAAAGGCCTGGAAGCTTTTTAATTCATATTAAAAAAAAGCACTGAGTGCAGGAATTTTTTGGATGGTACCCTGCATAAAGTTAAAACATGAATATATTTGGGTTTGTTAAACTACAAGTATGTTATGAATGTCTTTCTAGTGAGTTTTTCTTAATAAAATTTGATGATGACGTCATCAACTTTTTGATAGAAACAAATTATTAGTTGGGATAAATACAGTATAATGATAATGATAATAGCACTGTATTTCCATCGTTTTAATGCACGTAAACTCGTTATAAGCAATTCTAAAAAGTCAAAATTTAGCTTCATAATAATTATTTGCCATAGTCTAGGCAGGATTTATTACGTAAAAAAATACTGGTTGATGGACCACAAGCATAGAATGATGTTATTTTATAAAATTTAAATGGATTTACTTTGCAAATTTTTTCGTTGGGGTTATCAAATTGTCAGGTCATTATGCGAGTTTCAATTAACAACTCTGATGACGCCAGAGTAATCACACAGAAAAAGACTTTGCCTGTAAAGAGGCTTTTTATTGCATAAAGTTGAAGTTGATGTCGGGCGCCAGGTTTTTTTAAGTGGTAATCTGGGTGTATTCAAACGGTGATGATTAATTCCAAGGGTCTAACTTTTCTCGAATACAGATGAAGCAAAGGATTGGGTAATAACTATGGTGGGTTACGCTAAAAAAAAATTCTATCTGAAGCCTTGCAACGTCAAAATTTAGGGTTAGTTTCTCAACGTCTGAATGAAAAGTATGACGGACTTATTATTGTCTAAATTTATGTCTTTCCTGGTGACACTTGCATGAACATGACTAGAATAGAATCAACGCGTCAAACTTAGTTGGCAAAGCCCGTTGGCATGTTGTGTCACGTTTGGTTGTTTCAGTAACATTCAAACACCGTCCTAGTAATGGAACTTCAGCATTCGAATTTACCCATTTATTATTTAATAGTTAATTAAAAATCTTTGGTTACGTGGAACGAAATTTCCACAAGAATGACAACCACGTCAAACTTCCTATCAGTCCACCACGATCAAATTATTGTTGCCCCTTCTCCCACTCGATATCTTCGAAATTCGCAAAACTTACTAACATTCCCACATTATCACTTACTGTTGGTTGGTTCCCGAACACGAAACCGTCTACTTCTCCCCTCCTCTGGCGCATAGCGCCGATATTTCCGACCGAGCGGGTAGCTGCAATTGAATTTATACATTTTTAAAAAAAAATCTACAACATTCGAACATTACGATCCGACTCGAGAATGGTAGCAGCCCAATAATTTTCTCCGTTTTCTGCAACATGAAGCGTTAACTCATATCATACTACTATTTATTTATGCACATAGTCTGGAATCGGCCCCGAATCGGTGGCGTTATCTCGGCTCGTTTAACCCGTCTCAAATCCAAAGAACCAACTCCACCATTCTGGAATGAAGTCGCACGATTTATTAGTTAGCATATATGGTAAGAGCGTTTTTACCGGATGTTTTGTCATGCACCGACTGCAGTTATTTATGGTGGGGGCGGTTCTTGCAGTGCGACGGGACGCAGGGATGCACTTGACGCAAGGTTCACCGAGAAAGCATGTCGGGAAATCTGCGAACAAGCTGTGAAATATTTCTTGTGTAGAGTGAGGGAAATCTAAACTGACTGACCTAATTTTTAAAACCATGAAAGTGTAACTTCTGTCTAATAATGTTTATTTTTTAGTTACTTTTAGTTATTTGACAAAAGTTAATCCTATAGGGACTTTCAACGTTAGGTCAGCCACTTTATTTTTCCGCGACTATACGTGCATACCTGGAAGAGGCTCCAGCAAACGGGATTTTAGAAAGCCGCTACAGTTGCAAGGTTTCTGGGAGGGGATGGTGCTACGGTCACAGAATTTTCGCTGGATTTTCTCGGTACTGGGGTAGCAAACGGGGTAAACGTTTTCGAAGGGGCAAGGTCTCCATTTTGACAAGGTGGTGGCGTCGCAGATTCCGCGGAAGTTTTTTGGGGGCGATTCAGGGAGTTTGAAGTCATCGACGTAGAGCTTAAACGGTTGAGGGTGTGTTTATACTGAAAAATTAGGTACTCACTCCATAATATTCGTCTGTAATTGCAACAAAAATGCACTGCTGGGGATTTGGGGGGTTTTTGGTTTTTGGTAGAGCGGTTGGAAGGAAATTAATGACGCTTACAAAAATTACTGTCAAGAAAAGACGTATTGCCATGACAAACGTCAGATTTTTGGTTGAAGGGTGACTAAGAGAATTTGGTATCTAATATTGCCACGTTGTTTCTGGGGCAAATTCTGGTGGAATGTCGACGTAATAAATTTAACTGAAGTATATCTAGGGGTTGTTGAGTTTTAACATTCAGAAATTTACTTACGTAAGTTCTTTACCGGGAAGGTTATTTAAGCACTTTTGACCTAAATGACACCAACAGACCATAAAAATGTAATAATGCGGTAATAATATCCAATTTTTTAATCATAGAAACGGTGATCTGTGAAAACAATCGAGCTGTAGATACACATGACACGGTAAGATATCGACATTTATTGTAAACTAGCGGAACCCGGCAGACGTTGTCCTGCTTGTGTATATATTTACTTTGTATATATGTGGATATAAATGTATGGTCTGGAGCGCAGAATGCGTTGTAGAAAACTGAATAATAAGATAACTCATATTGATGCTATTCCATTTATTTTCATTAGTATACACAATGTACACATTTTTGTATTAGTAATTCACGTGAATGAACAAAATTTTTGACTATTGTATGCGCTATATATGCTAGTCCAAAAGGTATAAGGTTATATGACCATTATAAAAGTAGTTGACCGCAAATAAGTACCCCCTTTGTGTGGTTCGCACTAAGCTTACCCGGTTGACAATAAATCGTCTTCTCAACATTTCTTGCTCATATTTAACAGGGCCGGCTTTCAAAGCGAGTGGTGATTTCGGAACCCTCAGCGGCTGCAGGTAGTAAAGAAATAATGGAGTGGTGGATTTACATATTTAGTGAAAGCCGTCCCTGAACGAAACCACAACAGCCGGTCGAGCTCCATTGGACACGTTATTTACGACCCTAAAACCTTTTCTATTGTAAACAACTTAACTTCGACACAATGGGATAATTTTATGATGGCCATATAACCTTATAGCTTTTGGTCCACTATAACTGAAACAACTTGAACACATTTTAATCAATACTAACATCTATCGTAACGCTAGTGGGTAAACAATATTTTTGGTTTTTCGATTTGGTGTATAGACGTACAGAGTTTTTGGAATTCCTACTTTGGAGCAAGCAACATACAGTTGACCATGCGAAAAACATGGATTTCCTAAATTTAATCCGGCAACGCGCAGAGACTGCCCTTGGGCTTTGTTGATTGCCATCGCGAAAGCAAGACGCACAGGAAACTGTAGTCGTTTGAATGTAAAGGGCAAATCAGTAGGAACCATTGGAATGCGCGGAATCAGTTTGATTTTTTGGATGGCATTTTCAATAATCTCTAGTAATTCACTCTTTGTTATTACTGAGGATTGTAGACAGTGAACATCACTAATGATTTTATTTTGCGGTCAATACGATTTTTGTTGTAATACCAACGAAAACAATGCTGTCATTGGTGCCGCCATATATCTAATACTTGCTAACTCTTCAGAAGTAACATAGAAACGGTGTTCACGGACAAAGGGAGACGGAAGATATTGTTTTCTGTCTAGAAAAGTACCGAGGGTCTGTGCGCACGTACACAAAATAGAAGCGAATGTATGAAATGTCAAAACACATCTAGTCACGTTATCGACTAAAAATCAAGCAAGTACGAGTATATGAGCAGTACTGTTTGGTACTATAGAGAGACAAAGAGGTCCGATATATTGCTTTGCCGTTGTGTTTTCGGACTCTTTTGAGGCCTGATAACAATATAGTAGTATTCGATATATAGGTGCCGCTGATTCTCTAAGTTCATAATACTTTAACAGAGAGGCTGATGTGCTGCAGTGCCATCTAGTGGCAAGTTACAGCAAAATCGATAACGCGAAAATATTCTCCATGGTCAAATACCAACGTATATCAATTTTCATGAGGATCGGTTGATTGGTACAGAAGTTGATGTGTTGCAGCGCCATCTAGTGGCGAGTTACAGCAAAATGGATAGGGTGAAAATATTCTCCATAGTCAAATGCCAACGTGTACCAATTTTCATGAGGATCGGTTGATTGGTACAGAAGTTGATGTGTTGCAGCGCCATCTAGTGGCGAGTTACAGCAAAATGGATAGGGCGAAAATCTTAGATCATATAATAAATAGATACCACCATGCCGTGTTCTTTCCCTAGCAGAGCCTGTGACGACATCCTCCTGTCACACATCTCTCTCGTGCATGGAGGGATTACAATGAAGCTATCCTTGCCTGATCACTATTTGAATTTTGCGCGCCTAAATTTTAGGAAGTATGTCTGAACTAACTTCGTACGAAAGATGTTGACAGCTTGATTTTATAAATAATTCACAGTAGATAATGAAAGGAATAGTAAATTATTGGGCAGCAATTGTGATCCTTTATGATTACATCACTTAAAATAGGATCTTTGTTCTAAATTCTAAAATTGTTTTTTGTACAACAACTCGAAAGAGAGGTTAGAAGAAACATCTGTCAAAAGCGATTTGTTGCGCTGGTGCGGTACAAGGATGGAAGTGAAATAGACATATACAGATGAAATGCATATAACAAAGATGAAGATGTGGTGATCACACAAGGATAGCATTATACTACTCCTCTTGACGTAGAAAACGACAACAGATAGCTTCATGTCTAGTCACAGCTTTCAGTTTGAGTATTGGTATCTATTTATTATATGATCTAAGGCGAAAATATTCTCCATAGTCAAATGCCAACGTGTACCAATTTTTATCAGAATCGGTTGAACGGTGAAGAAGTTGATGTGCTGTAGCGCCATCTAGTGGCTAGTTACAGCAAAGCGGATACCACAAAAACCTTCTCCATGAAAAACCACTTACATGTGCCAAATTTCATGGTGATCGGTCAAACGATTTCGGAGTCTATCGATCACAGATATATATATATACCAACATCCATTTTTATATATTAGATTTGTTTACTAAATATTAGCTTTCCCTCTGGCTACTTCATACCAGAAAGCTCAGAAAATTCATGGATTCGTATATGTTGGCATAAACAGATGCCTGGTTATTCAAGCAGTTCAGCGTATAAATGTCAACTTTAGTTATTTGTTGCGAAGGTTTTATTTGTACTTCATGTACCGTAATAAAACAATAACAGATGAACACAGTAAAGTTATTGCTTCGAGGAAGCTCTCTTATTATTGTTTTTTGAGAAATATTTTGCGTTTTAAATTATTTGAATCTTATTTTCCGGGATTTACAGTTTCATTTTATCGGGCGGTGAAATAAAATACGTAAACCAAAATGATTTAGAATCGGAACTTTATTTATTTATTTGCGTATAATTAATACCGAGATAGCAATAAAAACATGAAAGTTTGAGTTTAAAATGTAACGATCAAAGAGAAAATTTCAAAAATCCATGGCGATCTGTGATCGTTGTAAAGACTGTAACAGACAGAAACCATCTACGAGTAGCTTCCGAAATAAAGAATAAAACGGGGAATGAAGTTTATGGTAGACGTTCAAAAACTAAAGGAAGAAGTGGGGTGAAAGTACAACGGGTGAGGAACAACAAAGAAGAGTTTTCAAAAAAATAGGGAACTACTTAATTACTGTAGATGAATCCAATTGAGATAGAAATCGTCTGAGAAAGATATTAAATATATAATATAAAAGTGTCAGGCAAGGAAGTATCTTAAGCCCATTACTCTTCATTATAACGATAGATGAGATAACAGAAGTTGTAAAACCGTGAACAAAGAAAATAGGAAATCAGGAGATTGAAAAACCAAAAAATTTACAAAATAAAGAAAATAAAAAACCAAAACGACGAACCGCAAATCAAAGAATTGAAGAAATGGAAATTTGGAAAATCTAAAAATTGAGACATTAGAGAGTCGGAAAATTGAAAAACTAAAAATTGAACGCTCGCAAAATTTTAAAGCGAAAAAAATCGTAAAATCTATCTAATATCTAAAATATTGAAGAGACAAGAAAAATGAAAGTTTGAATAATTCCGATTCGAAAAACTGAAGAAACGAAAAATTAAAAAAACAAAAAACTGCAAATAAAAAACCGAAGGAACAAAAGATAATGAAAAAAAAAAAAAAAATTGAAAAATTGTAGTCAAAAAAATTTGCCGGAGTGTTATTTACGTCAGGTTTTAACTTTGTAGAGGTTATAATTTTCCAAAGAAGCGTGATTTGCTGCACTTCAGAGGCTAGGGAAGTTCAGTTGAAATAACCTTCGACCAATTTTTTATTAATAGTAAGTGTTTATTTTTACCCTACGGACTTAAAAGATTCTTGATTTACACTACAATTTTTTTTCCTAATTAACAAAAACCAAGTAAAACATTTTAAAAACCACATAACTAATTTTTTTCCTTTATCCCATCTCCCCTTGCCCCAGCCTTACTCTTGTCCTCTCCACTTCTTTCATCCATTCCACCCCTCTTCCGTCTTCATTCAATATCTCAGTCACACTCTCCTCTCTTTCTTTGCTCTCCTCACAGTCATGCAGCATGTGCTCTATCGTCTCTCGCCCTTCTCCACACATCCTACACATTCTCTCACCTTCGCTTACCCAAAACTTATTATTTCTTTCTTCATTTCCACACCTAAATCTCGCAATTATTTTTTTTTTCGCGCTTTCTCTGTGTAGGTACTTTGGTACTGCTTCTGTTATTATCTTTCTATAGTCTGCATTGTACCTAGATTTACTTACACTTGCTCTTCTCTCTTGTTTATCTATGTCTGTCACGCATACACAACTCTTCGCTCATACTCACCCCCATTTCCCTCTTTCTCTCTATTTCCATCCATGCGTATCCTAGTCTTTCATAATATCCATGCCTACCCTTGTGATGTTCTTTCCCTGCTTCCCTTTTTTTTCCTTCCAGCATTCCTTCCTACATTCCTCTCTTTCTTTCAACCTTTCATCATACTTTACAGCTCTTTTCCCAGTGCATACTCTTAATTTCTCTCTTTTACATTCTTCTCTTACTATATAGCCTGGCGTCTCTTTCCGTAGCCCTAACATCCACCTCAAATATTTTTCTTGTA